CTCCGTGTTCATTGTTGCATTACCTGTCTCTCCACTCTCCACAAAAATCCACCATGTCCACGACTTGTAATGTAATAGCCGATACAGGGAACAGAGCAGAGGCTGCAGCAGGATAATAAATACTATGGTCTTTAGCCCCGGGGCCTATTTATGTAACAGGTTTGACAATGAAAATATGATTTATTGGTCAGCACTATTTGGCACCATATTGTACTTTGTTATCACATTTAAAAGATTTGAAAAATGTCTTTCTCAAGTTTTCCTCAAGTATTGTGTTACAATGCTAGTTGTATGATGTGAAATGTTACAAATAGCATTGTCACATGCTAAAACTGACATATTAAATGTGTAATAAGAGTTTTAACTGTTTTACTAAATAAAGTCATTTGGCTTTTTGGTGGCGCTCCATCAAACCTAACTTGACATCGTTAACCAGTGGGGTGGCACTGTGGGATCATGTTCCTGTCACTGCAGCAGTGAACTCTTTGGGGGTTAGCCATCTGTGCCGCATGGATGGGATCTAAGATTAACAGAAGCAGTTGGTAACTCAATGTGAATTGGAGGAAGTACAAGTCTGTCCACTTTTCTCCAGAGCAAGAGTGGGCGTTAGCAGTGACGAGCCCTGCAGTGCAGGGAGCATTGGCTTCCCACTAATTGGAATAAAACATAAAACGTGCAAAAGCAGACTATAAGATATCATAATGTATACAGTCCTGGAATGGGATCTTCTGCCATGTCGAGACAGACTGAGGATGTACCCATTCCTACGGTCCTTCTGCTTGTTTTTTTTAATATTTCTGTCTCCACATTATATACCCTATTATGTTTACACAGACAAGTAAATTGTAGTTTGCAGCACATGTATATGGACAGGTGACAAATTAAAGGAAAACCTGAATAACTGAGTGGAGAAACAACAAATGCAGATGCTTCCATACAGGAAGAAGGGCTCGCTGAATGGTTTAATGAGAAGGAAAGTGATATAATCATGTGCTATGACCTTCATAATCACTAGGGCCTCATGTATAAAAGACTGCACAGATGGCGTACTCACTGAATTTGTAAGTAATTTGTAAAGTATGTATGCACAGAAATATCCACATGTATAAAATCAGGTGTACGGCAGGTCCTGCTCACCTTTCCTTTATACATCCCAGTCAACGTGAAATTGAGCGCACATGCACGAGCCACATGCCCCGCCTTGGCCCCTCCATAAATTATTATGCAAAAGACCAGAAATACGCCAGCGTCACATTCTAAAGGTCCAAATAACAACGGCTAGTCCTGCTGCAAAACACGTGAAAAAGAAAAAGTGCAAGATCTAGGTGCTGAAGCCTGAAGTAGAGGCGACAATAAATATTTTATTAGATGATATGAACTCTTGGATCAGCAGCAAACGCAGAAGACAGAGGGCACAGAGACGTTTTATACATCCTCAACACAACTCTATGGGGAAAGCACGTAATTTTATTTTGACCGTAAACATCAACATATGATCACACTTTTATTGTGTATCAACAGACATTGTAAGGTTTTTCACTGACAGTTGCACAGAAATTGAAGTAGAAACTGTATTTTAAAACATTGGTGAGTTTTGGCCTACTTTGGAGTTTACTGACAGCGCCAGAGAAAAGTCTGTGGATGGTCTGCACATTCTCTCGGCTCAAGAGTTTGCGCCACGGCCTGGACATTCTCACGTCATGTTTTTATACCCAGATCTCAACCCAACTAAAACACTTTGGGAGACTGTTTTACTGTTACACTTACTGGCCTTCACCGATCCTTGTTATTTTTTTACATTCACAGACTGGACTCACCCACAATCAGGCCAATTTCACAGTGATGATCATCGTAGCCACAGGTCATCATGGTTCCCACTGTGTCATTGACTACAGCCACAATGTCAAGGTCAAAGTCCTGCAAAGAGATTTAATTTAACACTATATATTAAAACCAGCACAGACTATGTTAAGTTTTGGAAGTTTGGTAATAAACATAGAACTGGTGATTTACAGATACAATTTGTTGGACTGTGGCAAAATATTAAGTTGCAAAAAATGGATCTGAATGATCTGAATGTCACTTCTCCCCTGAAGTGGATGTGACAACCAAGCTGCTTTCCACCTCCCTTTACATCGACGAAAGCTGTTGGTGACTATCAAGGTATGTTCAGACAGGCAATGAAGCAAATTTGCATCTAATAACATCTTTAAATTGACTTTGCATTCAATTGTACCACCTCTAAAATTCATTTTGCTTTTTGTCTGAACACACAGTCAGACAGGTCCAGCCGACACTCATAAAGGTAGCCCGAGCGCACAACAGAGCTGTCAAATGCAGACCTGACCAAGCTGCTGACAGCAAAGTCCCACAGCAGTCCCGAGTGCGTTCACAACTACAGCTTACTGAACAGACTGGCTGGACTTTCAGAGGTGGTGAGAAGTGTATTTTTCTTCTTGACATGTGGGATTTGAAAAGATGACTGATTTCAGTTGCTCCCCAATGAAATGCTTACGACAAGAAGTGAGTCAGTAGGGCCTGTGGTATGCCCTGCTGCTTGTCAGTGAGAGCTGCCAGAGCTGTTTTGACATAATTTTGCCAATTTCCCTTTAAGGTTCCATGTTATGCTTATTTCATACTTTTATTTTAGGTTTTACTAGAACTTTCTTTCTTCTGATTGGCCGGAACTATTGGTCGGCAGGAACTAGCTGGCACAATTCTAAACATTATTTGCGGAGATAGGTCTGGCTATGCAAAATTAGGCCTCACTGATTACTGTTCAACAACACAACTTTCTAACTTTATTCAGTGATTTTGGTGGATTTCTGGATCAGATTTTATGGAGAAAATATTTTCAGGTTTTCCCGCTGATATCGCCCAGCTGCTCTCTCAATTTCCTGATGGATTACGTGTCATTAGCAGCTAGCGGTAACTGCAGTGTTAGCAACAAGTAAAGCTATTTGTCAATCAGGAGGATCCTTAAATCACAGAGGCAGCACAGCCGGAGGACATCTCAGAGATTTTTAGGTCTGAAGTTTGCAAACATGTTCAAAAATCTTTTGTCCACTAACCCCTCTTTTTTTGATGGCTTTCCTCAGGAGGCTGACCACTTCCTTTCCCTCTACTCCGCTTGCCTTGAAACCTTTCGTCCAAGACAACAAAACACTCTGCAAAAAGGAAAATTAAGACAGAGAACAGAATACATTATCTACTGTTCATTTCAACCTTGTCATAATAATCACTTCAGTTCAGTTCAAATCAGTTCAGAGTAATAACTCAGACCTCGCCATTTAACAATCTGATTGAGTGACTCCACTATTTTAGAGAAAATAAATACAGCTTTTAGTGTCCAAATTTAGACACTATTTACATATTGGATAACTCAAAAGCAGCGCCTCAACCTTAACAAGCATTAAGCTTCTTTTGCTGCATGTCATTTAGTTTCCTTTTGTGTTCCTTTTTCCATCAGTTTGTGGAGGAAAGTTTATTGTGTTATGTTTTTTCTACATAGTGCTGAACAACTTCACCCAGTTAGGTTACTTACTGAGACAGACAAGACATCTCATACTGTAAGGCAGGGGTTGGCAACCTGTGACACAAGTGTGAGTGTAGGTATACGAAGCCATTTTCAGTGGCACATGATAGAACATACTGTACTACAATATCGGCATGTGTCGTTACTTTGTTAAATACTAAGTGTTTCCCACATGTATACTTTACTTGGGAGGTAACTCCTGGCTTTTCAGTTCTTGAAAGCAATTCTGCAAGATTAAGTCCCAAGGTCTTAATGAGAAACTTATCTTAAAACTTCTTACTGCCAGAAATCAGGGGCACACCTCTAGAGCTGGGATGGAACAAACAGAGGGATGCAGTGTTTACCGGATGTCATTATTAATCGCGCTTTAAAACATTAATTAATCGTAGAGGCTACTACTGTACACTGCCTAAGCTATGGCAGAGGGACCAAACTGTGAAGCTTTATTTCCACCAAAGAAACGTCTGAAGTCGGCAGTGTGGGAGCATTTCAGGTACACCAAGGCCAGGGCGTTACTGAAGATAATGGATCCTGCCCAGGGTGCGAACTACGGGGGAGTCAGGGGGGAGCTTAGCACTCGGTCGATCCTCGATCTCCACCGCCCCTCTCCGGTACGGGTTGTGTTACTAAGAGTGATGAACGGTTTGTGATCGTTCTCTCTGGCTGGATGAATATTAAGCATAATCCGTGCACTACTGCAGCTGAGGGGTCTCGGCAGCGCCATGCAACTTTCTAAATTCTTCCCTCTCACGGAGAAAAGAAAGGTCAGGTCGTAAACACAGCCGCAGCTGTGGTGTGAAGCATAATTGTAGCAAAATGGCTGAATATGATAATAATAGCCTAATTATAATTATTATAATAAGACATACATGCCCGATTCTTTCACTGTCAGCCCCAGGCCTACATGCTTGCAGCTATTAATGATTCATCAGTAAGAATCACAGTCTGTAGTACTGTACTCTAGCCTTGTTCTTCTCTTAACAAATGTTGGGCTGATGTTCACAACTCTGTTGTCACTTTGTAGTATTAAAGGGCATAAAAGAGAGATCCTGTGTATGTCCTCATTGAAATAAGGATTTGTGTTGATCTGAGCATATATGAGGTGTAACTATATATTGTTATTTTGCATCACAGGTGATGTTACGCAGTAATCCAAAACTAATGTAACTAGTTACTTTCAGCAGTGGGTAATCTAGTAAAGTAAAGCATTACTTTAAAAAAAGGTAACTAGTAAAGTGTAATCCATTACACTTTTTTGAGTAACTATCCCAACACCGGTGAGTTGTGATGTAAGAGTTGATGGGACTTATAGGAGAGCATATTACCCAGTTAAGCCCCTGCACGGTACCAGCTCGACTCAACTCTGGTTTTCCATTGTGGAAAAGTTGTACCTGTACCTGCTAACAGGTAAATTTTGTTGTATCACCTCTGTCGAGGTTCCAAGTGAGCTGAGGAGATACTAAAATTTGATGTGAAAAACACAGCAGACTCGTGATTGGTCAGAGAGAATTGTCACTATTCACTGCATCATCATTGCCCACGCCTGACAGAGGCCAGCAGCAGAAAGTTTTATATTTTACAATTTACATATATTATTTCATCACTAAATCCACTTCTGAGAAGTTTTGAGGTAAGAAATCAGCTGTGTAGATTTCGAATATTGACACTTTTATGAAAAGTGATGGCGGAACAATAATGTGCTTGAAAGTTTTCGGAGTTGAGGAGCTCCACAAGTGGCTGCGGGGGAAGCCTGCGCCAACCCGCGGGAGGAGCGTGTGAGGTCGACCAGCCGCCCGCTCACAGAGCCCTCTGCTCCCGCCGTCACACAGACCGCTGCAGCAACAACGGCAGAGGAAAACACAGCTGGAAGGTTTTCATACTGCTTATAAGTGATTATATTCTGAGGAATGTTGAAACATTTTAACTTAAATGAAGAGACTGTGTTTGTTGGTTGCTAGTGTGTGTGTCGCATTGAATATTATGTTCCAGCAGTTGTGTGTCGCATTGCTATGATGACCAGTTACATTGAGGGGTACAATCTGCAATGGAAAACGGCTTAAAGGTTCCCCCAAATAAAACACTAACTGAGGTAAAGGCTCAAAAATCTTGGGATCAAATCATTTGCATTTACATTTACATACTGTTATGTAGCTACAGGTGTACTCCCATTACTGGCGAATTGATAATCACGTCACCATTTTGTTTTATACCTTTATAAAAACACAAGTAAGGAGGATTATTTATAGGATCTTACGTTCTATACCTGATTTCCGTTAACTCGCATGTATAATGCTTAACAACACAACCAACGAGTCTCTAGGTCAGGGGTCGGCAATAAGTCTGGCATCGGGCCAAATTTTTTTAAGATGTTACATGGTGGGCCAGAACATAGTAAAAATTTTTCCGACCCTAAGATACTCGTGTCCCTGTTTAGTTCGGTCGGTGGTGTGCGGGACCCCCGTTGGGCGGGTTGGATGATTGATCCCAACATAAGGCAAATTGTTTTTTTCTCCCAAATTGATTATAAGGACACTTCCGGACATGCTCATGATAAAGCATGTGCTGCAGTGTGTGCGTCACGGCATTTGATCCGCATTCATGAACCTATGGACGCTTATTTTCTTTTCCATGAGGATACTCATATTATCATCATACGTTTACTGCCGGCTTTTTCAGAGGTGTTCCAAGCAGGCCAGAGTCTTTTCTGAATGTCCTTCAGAACTTTTCAAAGTAAAAGCTCTCAATAAACTCGACATAAAGCATTACTGCAAAAAAACGTTTACGTGCTTCATTTTGGAGGCACAATCTCTTAAGAGGAAATGATTATGTGAGTAACTGTTCTGTCATGACTGAGATCTCTTTCAGCACCAGCCGCTGTCAGTTTTTTAATTTTTATTATTCTGCTATCTGCTATTCTGCGGGCCAGATATTATTCCTGGCGGGCCACTTCTGGAGAAAGCTGATAAAATAACATCTAAAATCACTCACCTCATCCAACTTGGTCTGCTGACAGGGAAAGGAGAAGGTGAAGCCCAGAGGAAGCTTTTTATCCTTTATCCCCAACTTCTCCAGGAAATTAGCCAGACAATCAGCTATGTGTTCAAATAACTGCAGGCGAGAGAAAAGGTCAGTTTCTTATTAATCAAGGTTTAATTTTCAGGACTGACTGTGTGTGTGTGTGTGTGTGTGTGTGTGTGTGTGTGCGCGCACGCGCGACTGTCTATGCAGAGATGCTGCAGTTATCATTAATGCTACTATTATGATTATTATTAGTAGCAGTAGCATTTGTAGTAGAACTATGGTTCTTTTCTTTGCCACAAATAAAACAAGTCAATGACAACTTCCTCAATTACCTGTGCATGAATCCTGCAGTTAGAAAAGGATGGTTCATACAATAAATGTTACAAAACAAGAGTTTGATGGATGTTTCTTGCAGTAACTAAACATAATCTCTTAATTTACTGCTGTTTAGGATATAATATTACCCCAAGCCTGCAAAACAAAACCTGATTTTAAAACGGGAGTTTGTTGCCTGTTTGTACAATAACTATATATCATAGCTTATACAGGTGTTTTATTTACTACAATATCAACAAACCTCCCAACCAATCCCTGTATGTTTAGTTCAGCAGCTTTACAAGAAATAAAAAAGAAATTAACTTGATATTAAAAGGACATTCAACTGGTTAATTATGGTGGCATTCTAATTTTCAATGTTGTCTATGGTTTGTGGGGGAGTTGGAGTTCTGAAATGAATTACAGAAATGTTAATGTTGATCCATACTGCTCTCTCCCTTTCTCTCACACGACTTGGCACAAGCTCAGCCTACCGCTGTGCTTTTCTACAGAAGCAGATTTTTTTCACTATTTGGTGAGCCTGTGGAAATGCATTTGGTTGGGGGTGATAATCAAGAGGAACACACTTTAGATTTTGTCAGTGTGAAGCTGCAGGTAGACTCAGGGTTGCTGTTGCTGTGGGCATTCTAGCACCTTTCACATTTGTCTGTTACAAGTTTATAGTTGTATTGCCTTGAGAGGGGTGTGTGTGTGTGTGTGTGTGTGTGTGCCACTCAGCTCTGTCTGCTATCTACTCTTACGTACTGCTGGGAAATGACATTTCAGGTCGTCGATGGCTAACTAGGCTGAAAAATTGATTAATGTATTGTTAATCAACACTGCTTCTTGGTTAAGTTAATTAGTCAATGCAGTCTGACATAAACACAAGGCATTCTTCCTCCTGACAGTGCACTGTGAAGGGAGCTCTGGTAGCCGGATCCATTTTTCCATCCGACGCTCTTATTGAACCTTTGATCTGTCCTCTTTATTTTTTACGAGCAGAGACCAATGTTGAAAACATGCAGGTAGCGTTACCAGGCTTCTCATTTATAGTCCACCAACGTCACCTGTGGTAGCTAATTAATGTTAATTTCATAACAGCTACACTGAAAATTCTGACAATTGATTAATGTGTTTTCTCCAAATGATTTACGGTAACTTTATTAATGTCATCCAACAGCAGGTGATCACAGATCTAAACTGAATCTGAGGTGTTGTTATTTATAACTTTAGTTTCATGCAGTAAATGATGAAATTGAGACTTGATAATGGATTTGATAAGTGGACTTGACTCACACATATGTATAATGATACTAATACAGACTGTGCAGAACTTTAACCAGAACCAAGAGGTATGATCACATCATACCTGTTTTAGCCTCTTTACATTTGTTCCCTGTTTGTTTTAGGATTGATTTGAAGATTATATTGATTACTTTTAAGGATCTCTGTAACCTGCCTCCAGATTATATTTTTGATCCTTTAATTCTTATGAACCATCTTTGGTCTCTTCCTGAATCCAGTTTGAAAACTGAAGGGGACAGAGCTTTTGCCATCAGGGCCACAAGGCTTTGGAACAACCTGCCTGAGGAAATTAGGCTGTCAGAGTCATTGTCTTCTTTTAAGTCTCTTCTAAAAACACATTTTTTTGTAAAGCATCATGTTTTTATGCGAGCTGCAAGTGTTGTTTTGTTTTTTCTTTTCTTTCTATCCTGGGTAATTTAATGTTATCTTTTATTGTTTTTACTTAATTTATTCTGCCATTCATGCATTTTATCATTCAATTTTCATGTCACCTCTCTTTCTGTGTGAAGCACTTTGTACTTTGTTTTGATAAGTGCTCTAAAAAACTTTTTTTAATTACTATTATATTAAGCTGGTGCGCATGATAGTACAGCACAAGATACAAACAAGAAGGGGACTTCAAATCCATTAGCAGTCAAAACCCCCCACAGGGTACCTTAGAATCAAAACAATCGAAACACTTATTTATTCACCATTCTCTACTTCAGTGCTGTTCATAGTTATATTGTCATATTGTAGATAATGTATACCAAATCCACCTACCTCAAGTCATTTCTCCTGCACAAAATACTTCTACTTATTTATTCCAGCATTCCTTTGCACTGTGCTTCATTGCACTGTGTACATGTATGCATGTATATGTACCTGTATATCACATCCATCTTCGACATGTACATTCTCCTGCATCCTTTGCACTCTGCTCACTGCACTATTTGTCAATATGTCTATATTGTTTTTGATGAATTAAGCTGTTCTGGAGGCTCATGGATACTGAGACACTTCGTGTTGCTTTTTCCTTTCATCTGTCACCCATCTGTGTGAGCTATAGATGCTTAGCAAATAATCATTTTGCATTGATACTCAGTATCACTCGATGTTCAGATACTCATACATCAGACTGAGGGTATATGTGGTCTCAACATTTGGTTTTGTAGTTCATCTACATTGCTCTTGTGAATTTGTCTGCTTGTATATTCATACATGCACAGCCCAACTAAGCTTTAACTCTCTGACAAGAAAGCGCCCACAATGCTGTGTGTAATGCCTCTTACCTCAGAGCCGCTGCCTCTCATGAGGTGATCAGGAATGGAATAAATCTGATCTTCCATCTCCACCTCTCGCTTGCCACTAGCCATGACTCTGACCAGGAGAACTCGGAAGTTGGATCCACCAAGGTCGAGGGCCAGGAATTCACCTTGCTCTTTGGACAAACAAATACATAAATATATATATATTTTTTTTCCCCCAACACCATTTCCAAGAGCCCATGGTATAGTCTTCAAAATTCTCCTTTTTTTTCTGGCCAACACTGCAAAACCTAAACATATTCAATTTCTAATGATATAAAACAAAGGACAGCATAAAAGTATTGGCATTTTCGCTGGAAAAACGGACTCAAATGATGAATTAATTATCAAAATAGTTGACAATACAAAAACAAATAATTGAGTAATTATTCCAGCTTTAATCAGAAGCGTGCTTGTGCTCGTGTGTACTCTTGTGTGTGTGAAAGTAGAGCACAAGAAACAAACAAGAAGAGAACTTCTTTATCAAATCCATTAGTGAAGCCCACAGGATACTTTAGAATCATTAAATAATATCACAGCAGGAACACATTATGAGAACGCTATGAGAAACCGAGAGGCTATTAAAGGAAATTAATGTGAACCCACAATCAGCACTTTACAGGGTTTTTTTTAGTTGTGAACATGCTAATTAGGCCTGTGTAGAGTACAATTTCTCAATGCATTCATTTCATACATTTTCAAGCCAAGACCTACCATCTGCCTCTAATGGGAATTTCACTGCTCTGTATAAAGCCTTAAACCATATCGCACCTCTGTCCTCACCTCACCCACTGACGTCATGATAAGTTTTTGCCAAAAGCTGGGTGATCAGAAAGTCACAAAAAGAGTGAATCACCAGAAAGAATAATTTTGCAGCACAGAACTGCTGCTGCGCTGCTCTGTATGAGGTTGCATGTTGCACTTGTGGCAAAACCCTAATTGACCTTTTTCTTTGGTACTGTATTTTGACTGGACAGTTCCCAGTTTGTCCATCTACATACAGTGAGGAAAATAAGTATTTGAACACCTGTCTATCAGCTAGAATTCTGACTCTCAAAGACCTGTTAGTCTGCCTTCAAAATGTCCACCTCCACTCCATTTATTATCCTAAATTAGATGCACCTGTTTGAGGTCGTTAGCTGCATAAAGACACCTGTCCACCCCATACAATCAGTAAGAATCCAACTACTAACATGGCCAAGACCAAAGAGCTGTCCAAAGACACTAGAGACAAAATTGTACACCTCCACAAGGCTGGAAAGGGCTACGGGGAAATTGCCAAGCAGCATGGTGAAAAAAGGTCCACTGTTGGAACAATCATTAGAAAATGGAAGAAGCTAAACATGACTGTCAATCTCCCTCGGACTGGGGCTCCATGCAAGATCTCACCTCGTGGGGTCTCAATGATCCCAAGAAAGGTGAGAAATCAGCCCAGAACTACACGGGAGGAGCCGGTCAATGACCTGAAAAGAGCCGGGACCACAGTTTCCAAGGTTACTGTTGGTAATACACTAAGACGTCATGGTTTGAAATCACGCATGGCACGGAAGGTTCCCCTGCTTAAACCAGCACATGTCAAGGCCCGTCTTCAGTTTGCCAATGACCATTTGGACGATCCAGAGGAGTCATGGGAGAAAGTCATGTGGTCAGATGAGACCAAAATAGAACTTTTTGGTCATAATTCCACTAACCGTGTTTGGAGGAAGAAGAATGATGAGTACTATCCCAAGAACACCATCCCTACTGTGAAGCATGGGGGTGGTAGCATCATGCTTTGGGGGTGTTTTTCTGCACATGGGACAGGGCGACTGCACTGTCTTAAGGAGAGGATGACCGGGGCCATGTATTGCGAGATTTTGCACCAAATATTAACATTGATTTTCTCAGGTGTTCAAATACTTATTTGCAGCTGTATCATACAAATAAATAGTTAAAAAATCATACATTGTGATTTCTGGATTATTTTTTTTTTTTAGATTATGTCTCTCACAGTGGACATGCACCTACGATGACAATTTCAGACCCCTCCATGATTTCTAAGTGGGAGAACTTGCAAAATAGCAGGGTGTTCAAATACTTATTTTCCTCACTGTAGCTAGATAACACTGGAGAAAAGATGTTGACCCTTTAACTTTATTTGAAATAATGGGTATCACCTGTTCCATCAGGAGTGGAGCGCACAAATGTGGGCAGCATCCTGACAGCAGCTGTGGGGTTGGTGTCTCTGCACAGGCCTTTGTCCATCTCTCGTCGAAATCTTATTGACACATCCATCAAAGTCACATCTGACAGCTGAAGGTGGTTCAGGTATTTGTCCACCTAAACCATTTTGGAGAGGAGAAATTTTCATATTGGAAATAACAAGTCGTATATGGTAATAATGGTATAAGTACAGCAATGACTAAATAAATAAAATAGTTAATGTATTGTCATTAAAATGAACGGATTAATAAATTACATTAAGATTAGACAGCTCTGAATTGACCAAACATAATATTTATATAATTTAGTGTATAGTGTCCTACTAAGTTGTGTGTGAAGAGCAACACAAGCATGTTAAAAAGGCCCGCACCGGCTATTAGGGTCCAAAATTAACAGCCACCAAGCTTCAAATGTGGGTAAAATTTGGATTTGGTGGAAGAATAAATTGGGGTGTAATCACAGCCTAGCGCCACGTTTAAATTGCTATGTTTTTTCCCGGCTGAGACTCATGTGAATCTCACTTTCCATCAAACCTATTTTGACATCAGCGAATCAAGTCAAAGCAGCCTAATTCTCTAATCGTAACTCCAATTATGTCAGCGGCTAACTGTAGCCTGTAACATTAACATGCCAAGAGGCTACGGCTACATATGGACACTCCCCCACTGAGGCGCGCGCACACACACACACACACACACACACACACAAAGAGCCGCTCTTAGCCGCAAGCTCAGCTACAGCACAGTACATTTTTTGTTTAACTGTCTGTGGCAGACAAGCCAAAAGGTAATTTTGGACCTTACCTGCACTGAACAAAATTTTTGTTTGCTCAAGAGTAGTTCTGCTTGACTTTCTGACGGACCACTGTTTGGCCTCAAGTGTTGACCATAAAGGAGAGTTCAAACCACAATTAATCATCAAGTTTTTTCAACTTTCATTCAGAAGCAAAAATCAGCCTTTAAACTCGAAATAAATAACGATTTGATATTTATTGTGATAATTATCAATATCAAAAGATATGAAACTTTTTATCGCGATTACATTTTTGGCCATATCATCCAGCCGTATTCTTAATATTTATGTCTCTAAAAGATGTAAAAGGAAGAAACCTTTCACAGAAATGTTTTAAGAATTGATTTAAAACAAGATACAAATTCAGCTTTCCTACTGCCTTGGTCTCAAGGTCTTACCATGTATCTATGCAACACATTTAACAAATACCTTGTGTACTAAAGAACAGAAGGATCTGGCTCACAAGTATAGTCTGTACACTACAGTCAGAAACCAGAGATAGTAAGGTTAGTTGAGGCAGAAGCAGGCTGACAAAATAGGGTGAGATGGCCTTTTTCTGGATGAGACTACAAAACAAGATTTCCCCCATCCGATGTTGATGACATTCAAAAAAGTCACTCTACTACTGACTGACACATCAAGTATCTAGGGGTACAGAGCGAGTACAACAAAACAAAATATGGGCCTCTGTGCAAATCAAGGTCAGCATGTTATCTCTCTAGATTACCTTATTTCACACTTGACAACACAGGTATACTGTGCACAGCAGCATGACACAGAAGCCATATATGTGTTCTTGACTGACCCTGTACGGTTTCCTTGCGTGAAATGTGTATTTAAATGGCTAGCTCAAGGGGATTTTCAGAGACCATTTGTTTATTCCTGTGTGTTTACTTACTGAGTAATACTTACATACTGAGTGCAGGTAAGCACCCACACAGCAAGCAGTGGTTCTTAAATGGGACCATTTATGCTCATTTCCAGCAGTTTATTTCCACTGTGCTTCCACTTCAGTCCACAGTTCAAAAATCCTTATTTATCTTCTAAAGGCCCTTTATGCAGCCCCCAGGTTTATCCTCTCTCTTAATGCTGCATTCCACTTACCTCGGCAGTCAGAGCTGGGAATGACATCACACCCAAGTTGGCCGCTTTCCAGTACATGATGAATGCCTCTAGCCGCTGTTAGCAAGTGTTTTCAGTCTTGAACGAAGTATGACTAGCAGGACTTTACTCTGGAGCAAGATTATTCAACTCCTTATAGATGAGGAGCATGATCTTGAATTGAATCCTAAATTTAATTGGAGGCCAGTGCAGTGACATCAGAATCGGGGTGATGCGATGTGTGTAATATGAGGTCTTAGCTCATTTTTTGAAACCTCTTTAGTATAAAGGTCATTATACGAAAACATGCCATTTTACATTTTTAATGTTTGATTTTCAAAGTACTGTTTTCAAAGTATTTAAGTCCCGTTTGGGATGAAGTAGATCCTTAGCTCTAAGAAAATATGCCGTGCCATCTCAGGCTAACTTGTTTTTTTTTTTTTGTCACATAATCAACTTGCATATATGTGTTTCGTCAACCCTGTTACCAATATATCAGTTACTGTTTGAAAAGGTCTTAAATCCATATTTAGAACAAATATGATAAGTCACCACTTGTTACAATAAGAGTGTTTGTAAAGTGGGGATATTGACTAGTTTACTTATATCTATGGATGAATACATTCATTTACAATTAATACTGTCACAACATATTCTGTTTTAAGAAAAAGTTATGAAAACTAAGTAATAATATCACAGTTTCTTTGAGTGCATTACTGGTCCCTTATACTTAACTTGTACCATTAGTTGAATTCACTATTTTTTTTTTTTATTTTTTATTATTATTATTATTATTATCATTTAATTATTATGTATTATTACAATATTATACAAGTAACAGGGCTGACACATCAGTAACAGGGTTGACAGTTATACTGCTTGTTTAATTACAGTCATGGGTGTAATGGAGTTATAATGGGACATTCTTAAAATTTTAATTCAAAATAACTAATTAGTATTACTGTGGAGTATTTTGGAGACAGATTTGTTGAGAGGTTTTAGCATAAAAGATGATACAACTTTATGATGATGCTACAGATTTAACTGTATATCAATTGTTTAATTCAAACATATTAAAATTACATTGCAAATAAATGTAAAAAATTAAATAGTTGGGCCTGTGGGTACATAAAGATGTACTTTTCTTAGCCGAGAAGGGTTGAATCAAGGGCAACTGGACTTGGTTAAATATTTTTCACCTCTCATCCAAGCGGCGTCTTCGGTTCTAAATGACTGGTGGGGAGTTTCATGTATTTTACCTCTATGGGGTCATGATCAAAGTCATTGATACCAGTTAGTGGTTGGTGATCCTTGCTATTGTAACAACGGTCGTTAGGGTCCGTGTTATCAACAGAGACCAAGTGTAAACAACAGTCTTTGGAATTTCTTCTAAGAGGCCAAATGTGCCAATTATTCCATCTTCTAGGAACATATAAAAAGACAGCATTATAAATGGGGGATAAGTGGTGTCATATATCCTCCTCTGTTGAGAGATGGTTTCCCTATGCTGGTGTAAATAGCCTCCTTCACTCCTCTTTTAAACCATCTATCTTCCCCATCCAAATACAGTAATGGAATCACAATGATGTTGCATTTTCCTCCTTGTCTTTACCTCTCGTGTGAAAGATGAGGATATCAAGAACAACAACATGGCTTTTTTGGAGTGTGGCATACACATTGGAGTATACAGGAAACCCACACACACAGACCAGTACTTACTTAAAACTATCATCACCCACTAGAGTACAAGCAAGGAATTGTCAAAACTCTGCACCACCAAGTTGATAATGTACCAACAAGTGCCCAGGCCCTAAGAGAAGGAGTACAAAAAACTGAAGGATGAACTTAATTGTGGATAATCTAACTGGACCCTTGTGAAAACAACCACAAGATCCAGGAAGAACTCTAATACTGTGTTTGTTGAAGAAACGAGGAAGAAAATGCTTCATCGTCATTCCATACATGTCAGGAGTGTCAGAGAAACTCAAGAGGATTTTCAACAAACACCACATCCCTGTGTTTTTCCAACCCAGCCACACACTAAGATATAAACTGGTCCACCTGAAAGACCCCACCCCTAAACACAAGAACAGCAACATAGTGTATGCTGTCCAATGCAGTGAGGAATGCACACATTTGTATATCGGGGAAAGCAAACAACCATTAATCAAACGTATGGCTCAGCACAGGAAGGGTAACTCCTCAGTTTAAGCAGTTTACCTAAATCTGGGGAATAAGGGACACTCTTTTGAAGACAACAACATACATATTTTGGATAGAGAGGACTGATAGTTTGAAAGAAGAGTGAAGGAGGCTATCTACTTCAAAGTAGAGAAACCATCTCTCAAGAAAGGAGGATATCTACCAAATTGATTCCCTACTGTCCTAATGCTGTCCTTCATCTCTTTCCCAGGAGTGTGGTAACAGGTTTGACACACTGAGCTCGTCCCCCTCAGTGAGACATTACGTAACTCAACAAAAATCCAGTAAAGGAGGTGACAATTACTTGACTTTTACCATTAACTTCATAAAAAAGCAAGTGATGTCACTTTCTGGAAATTATGCAACTTTTGGAACAGTCCATCAGCTTTGAAGGGGTGTTTTGATTAAAAGTAACAGGGTTGACAACAACATGGGGACCTGACTAAATTGTTGTTTTTTGCAATATTTTACACAAGAATAAAACCCCTTCACGAGTAATGAAACAACACTTGAGGCTTTATATAGGTTTAAGTTTTTGTATGACAGTTTGACTTTTTTGGCCTCAATAGCAAGTAGAAGTAAAAATTATACTGAGGGACAGGCCATTTTCAACATTTCCACAAGATGCTTTGCACAAAAAAGTAATTAAAATCTTGACTAAAAACAAAAGAAACAAAATGTAATTTATTCTTATATTATGAAAATATTTTATTTGTTTTATGGTTTATTAAGATTTTAAAAGTTTTTTTTCTGAGGGACTTAAAATGGCACGTTTTCGTATAATGACCCATACATATCTGACATTGTAACATATATATATACACACACACATATACGTGTTTGTGTCCCAGTAAGCTGAGCCAGTGAATCAGCATGTGCAATACCAGGACCATAAAATAAAAGCAACTAAATTGACACTTTAATTACACCTCTACTTTTCCTGTCACAAAGGCTTATTGTTTTCATAGACATGCAGCTAGAAGAGCATTATACACTGAAATTACACCTACGTTACACATATAACGAACATACTGTATGAAATGAGCCACACAATGTTATATTTTCACACAGTGCTGTTCGATTCCTTGGGGCATTTCTTGTCTGGGCAAAAGAGTGATTGTTGGGGCGGAAATGCAGACATCTAACGTTAGACTGCGCGAGAAGTGACAGTCGAGACATCACTGCGTTCATACATGCTAGGAGTAAGGTTACCTTCCTGACCCCTCTTTTCACCTTCTCACAGTAGGGCAACACATTAAAATGTCCCGTCATTGTAGACCAAAACGTCCCCAAAACAAACCCAGTCGAGTGTTTTACAACACCAGTACTCACTTTATGCGCTTGGTCATCATGGAGTTCGGTGCAGTAATTAGCCAGCAGACTCGAGGCTAACATCTTCAGTAAGTAACGTGTGGAGACTTTACGTCCGGCTGCTTTAGATTTATAGAAAGTTTGTATATACAAAGACAGATTCTTTAAATAAAAAAAATATAGAAACCAAGAATTATGTCACCCGCTGCTCCAAAACTCCTGTATTAAAACTGCAGTAAAAACGGAGTCATAGTAAGAAACTTCCAGCTTCCTGGAGTTGGTAGTTCGGTGACGTCGTCCCGAATGAATGGCGCTGATTGGCTGCGGAGAAGGCGCGGGGGTGATCCCCGTTTTCCTACTACATTGTAATGTGGATACACAAGGGGTGGACAAATTAATAGCACTACAGCATTGCAGCATTAGCAGTTTCTTGTTCATAATTTGTCATGAAAGTGTTGATTTAACTTAAAGTGTTCAGGCGCCTTTTACAGCTGTAGTTTGAAGTTATGCACCCCAGTTAACTACAACATACAAACAGTTTATTAATTGTTTAAAATGATCTCCACCTCGACCAGCTCCCTAAAATGTTACTTGCATGTAAATTCACCAGTAACCTAATAATAATTCCATAATATGATATAATAATATAACAACCGGTCGAGGCAGATGGCCGCCCACCCTGAGCCATGGTTCTGCTCGAGGTTTCTGCCTCTTAAAAGGAAGTTTTTCCTTGCCTCTGTCGCCTAGTGCTTGCTCTTGGTGGGAACTGTTGGGCTTCTGTAAATAGCATCATAGAGTACGGTCTAGACCTGCTCTTTTATGAAAAGCGCTGTGAGATAACTGTTCTTGTGATTTGGCGATTGTTGTGATTTTCTTGGATTTAATTGAATTGAATTAACATAACACTATGAAAAGTGACTGCAGCTGTCTTGATAGGTTTTGTTACTTTTCATACTTTAATATACATTTTATTGATAATACTTTTTTTTTTTTAATGCAGAATTTGTTTGTAATAGAGTATATTTGCATTGTGTTATTGCTGCTGCTGCTGCTTGAAAGATTTTAATACCGGTTTGCAACATTATATTTTAAGGTGTTCCTGTCCCAGTATGTCACACATGGATGCCGTCTGTTTTAATAACTTGGTCGACTCGATGCCACAGAATGAGGAAATGTGAGAGGAAGAAGAGGCGAAATAGAAACTACACCTAAAAGCTGCCATACTGTGTATGTCGCTTTCAATTATATAAAAAAAAAAACTTTTCAAAGCTAAACCTGACAATGGAACAGGACACCCCTTGTGGTGAAATAAGCAGTGATCCACATATCAGATGAATAACTATTTATAGCCTGAGCTTCAAAGTTATGTTTCTTCACGGGGGGTGGCAGTACGCTAAAAGAAAAGATAGCTGGTATGTGATGAGGCTTCCTGAGTGAAATGCATACATCAAATGGAATGTATCACAGGCACGGCATTGAACTGAAAAGCATTTTGTTACTTTCATGTTCTCCTCTTGTGCAAATGCTCACAAAAATATTCTCAATTGAACTCTAATTTTTTATACCCTATTTATAGTGTAGTTTGTGTTACATACATACATTTACCAACAACAACAGCAATTAACAAGAACAGATGCCTCACATGTTTAATTAGCATTCATTACTGTAACTGTTATTATCGTCATGCAACACTGTCAGTGATTAAAAACAAGTTTCATGCTGAAAATATGTGAAATACAGTTTGTGCAAGAAGAAAAGGTGCCGGGAAACAGGACAGGCACCGCAAGATCGTCACAGGATGCTGAGGTGCACCCTGTGGTGACCTTGCATCATTAGTGATCTAACCTGGGGTCATTGGGTGTTTTGGTTCTTTCAACATCAGACACTCTCACTCAGGCAATTCAGCCAGGGAGGATCAGACCCTAGACTTCTGTCCCAGGAGCACTATCACACATCTGAGTCCTTCTGATTCATATTTAGATTCTCTTTCAGCACCTTCTGATGAGGTATTGATGGTTCTCCTCTTTGACAGCCTGTGATGGCCCAGAAGTATGAATAGTCTGCAGAGGGAGAAGCCAGCAGAGCCTCTAGATCTCACTTCTATGGCTATGCAGCGACCTTTCTCCATTCCTTTATAGAGACATTGCTCTACCAGTTCCTGATACATAGGTCTGTTTCCATCATGTGCCTCTTCAATCTGATCCTCTCAGGGCACAGTCAGCTTAAAGACGTATGCTTGCTTAAAGGCTTCTGACAGATTAAATAATGGATGATAAGAACTGTTCATTTAAATTTTGTGAAGTGACAAGAGAAGAAGTAAAACAACTATTATTGTCTATTAATAATGACAAACCACCTGGTACGGACAACCAGGATGGAAAGCTATTGAGGATGGTAGCAGACTATATTGCCACTCCCATATGTTAATCTCTTAAAAGGAATATGTGCCCACAAATGTGGAAAGAAGCGAAGGTAATCCCGTTAGCAAAAAATTCTCGTGCTGTCTTTTCTGGCTCTAACAGTCACTAATCAGCTTGTTACCTGCTATAAGTAAACTTTTAGAAAAAAAAATATTTAACAAGATACAAGGTTATTTCACTATGAATAAATTGTTAAGCAAATGCCAGCATGCTTATAGAGAAGGACATTCAACCTGTATAGCTTTTACACAAAAAAATACTGCTGCTCTCAACAACGAGTTGCAGATGGTATTTAACTGGATTACAGATAATAAACTTGTACTGAATATAGCCAAGAGCAAAAGCATCTTATTTGGAACTAAACGTTCATTAAAAAACAAGGCCCATGTTGGATTTAGTACTAAACAATTTTGCTGTTGAGCAGGTACAGGAAACAAAGCTTCTTGGGCTAACCTTTTTGGATTTTCTTAAGAAATTAGCATAGAATCTAGTCTACATTGGCGAGAACTCTCACTCCCTCCTTGGTGTTTGCTTGTTGCATTGGCAGGACTAGTAAAAAAAGCAGGAAAAAAATGTTTGAGAATGACATCACACTTTGTAGTTTCATAGAGTGATACTGTACTAAATAAGGTGATGAAAGTGAAACATACTAGAAAAATTACTTACATTGCTTCTGTGTTTCTATTGCTCGGTCAAAGTTGAACATGGGTGAACCATAACCTGCGAATGCGCCAGAGCAGGCAAGACAGGAAATGCACCCTTGAATTTGTCTGCTTTGCAGGTTTCCAAATAAGTACATATTTGTTGGACAGAGGTGTAATGTGACCATTCCTTAAGTTTCAAAGTTCCTCAAACTGGGTACCTCACTCTTGCCCCATGCTTGGTGGTTGGATAGACTGGACAGGCTTATTGTACACAGACTAAATTATGAACTTGATGTACTGGGGTTCTGTCTGCAAGATGCCGGTAGGCCTACATGAAGATAGAACATCAAGCTCATGATGCAGAGAATTAGCAGAAATTGAAAATGTATTCAGTTAAAGTCACTGAGATGTGAGAACATGCAGAACTTGTCATTTGTAAGTGAAAAAAAGCAATTGAGACTTGCTGTGGCAGATTCAAGCAGAGTTATTGTCTTGTGTTTGAGAAAATATTCTACAGGTGTGTTGGAACGGGTGTGTGAATGTGTTTTGTACCATATTCACTGCAGCAACTGTAGCAAAAATGTGAGCATATGAGTTTCATAATTTGTGTTTGTAGAATAGGATTTGTGCACCTGCAGTGAAGAATCTGACAAGGTCTAACTGTTATGTTTGTGAGAGAGAGAAAACAATTTAACAAGTTTGCAAATCCTAAAGCATTTTTCTCTGTGGCTTCAAATTTACTGATACACCTTGAATATTTTCTACAGCCCCCAATGACACAGGTGCTCAGTTGTTTTGCTCCAATAATATCTTCATACTCCTGGGGCCAGATATGTAAATGAGACATACATACTAAAACTATCCATATGTTTTCCTCACACATAAACTGGTATTTATATAAGAAGAATGTGTGGTAAGAATGTGAGAAGCTCACGCACACATCAGACCAGGGGTACACACACTGTGAGTGATATGAGAAGGGGAAAATTAAATGTCAGGTTAGAAATTGAACCTAACATCCAGACATCTATTTATGCTGAACTGTGGAAGGCTCGGCATGTGCGCCCAGTTCCACAATGATTTAAATTTATAAAACATACCAAGAGTATATGAGACAGATGGCAGTTTTAAAATGCAGTGGCTGATTTCTGGGTTTTGTCTGAATACAGCAACAGCATTCAGGAGTGTCTAAAGTTACGCCATATGACGTGTAATGATCATGCAATTGTTTTTGCAAAGATGACCTCTTCCCTGTTTTTTCAAAGTAATTGAGAGAGCTACAAGGAAAGGACACTTAGAAGTGAAACCCTGCACATTCTTTGAAGGGACCAATGGTTAGCTGAAAGGGCCTCAGCAGTATGCATCCAGGTCCCACAGCTTTTGGGGCTCATTTTAAAAAAGTGTGAAAGTTTTAAAATGAGGAGATTTTTTTACAATCTTTTACAATCAATATGAATGTAAAAATAGGATTTATAGCCTATGGATGAATTCCAGTTACTTAAGTCCTCATTTCAAAATGACTTATTTGTCAGTGCATATCTGATCTGCAAACCCCAGTGAGGGTTATGTTTACGCAACTAAAACAATACTGACTTATGCAAGATGGGACACAGACACGGCCTCTGTTGTCAAGTCAAATGTTTTGTACCCATCCTACTGACCTCCACACCCCTATTTCCTGCTTTATTGAACATAATCATAGTACAGTAGTTTGACAATCTTGACCTTGAGCATTGAGTGCAGTTTCTTAAATTCCTATTTTTCCCCACAACAGAGCTCTTTTTTGAGGCTGACACCGACATGGATATTTGGGAGTATAAAAAGTCAGATAACGACATGTCTGCAGATTTTTTCATTTTTAACATAAACAATCTTGATACAGATCCCTTAGAGGGGTGTTCTATGGGGGGCAAACTGTGTAATGGTGACACTGTTTCTGAATTACCTATAACCTAGTTTGGCATTTTTGTACTACAACATAACTTACTACTTTACTACTATACTATATACAGTGGCAAGAAAAAAATGGCGCCATTTTGAATGTTGAATGAGTGTGTTCAATAAAGACATGAGGGCTCATAATTTATTTTTTGTTATTTTAGACACATTATATTTGTCAATACCCTTGACTTAGATGAAGATCAGATCACAGTTTAAGATGAAAAATTTCATATAAAGGGTCAGATCATGGCTGTAGCTGGTTAGCTTATTTTAAAGTAAAAGAACAGCTTATAT